CTGCTAGCACTGGCCAGGTTAAATGTGTGTCGGTCAGTATGGTCACAGGTTCTCTGAGCCTTTTGTTGAAGCAAGACGCGGTGGGGAAGGGAAAGGGTCCTGTCACTGCACCCTTCTTTCGGTCAGGGTGTATCCGCTTCCTCTACTTGTGCACATAACACAAAAGCCACTGTTAATGGAAAAGAAAAAGCCGAGAGCAGAGTGAGAGCCTGTGCGCAGGAGGTGTGAAGGAAGTGGTCTGTGCTGAGCAGCAATTTTGTTTCCCCTATTACCCAGTGGGTACCTTGAGCTGCTCTTCGCTGAGCACTGTCTCAGTGGACATAAATGGGAGACCTCTACTGAACGCAGACCGACTAAAGCTAGGTGGAAAAGAAACCAGAGTACTGGCTGCCAAAGGAGGTGCTAAACATGGACCCAGTTTTCAGACTTGGATAGCAGCTGAGTCCATATTTAAACACCTAATTAGCCACTGCAGGCTCTGGTTTGAAATTTGTCTTCTCGTTACTTTTTACAAATACATTGGCCTAGCCTGCTAGCAAGACTGCTGCTGGAGACAGCACGATGGAGATGAGTTGTAAAATCAGCTTCTGGTGTAAAAAAAAAAATAAATTAATAAAATAAAATTAAAAAATCAGGAAACCATAAGGCAGGCACTCAGTCACTCCAGAATTGAATACTTACTTATTTTGTTTTGGCAAGAATACAAAACAATCCCTTCCTCTTCTTCTCCCTAATTTTTGTAATGACAATTCAAACTTGTCAGTCTATGTTTCAAAAAATCTTAAGCCAAAAATAAGAATTTTTGCTAAAAATTAATTGAACAGAAAGTGCATAGCCTGCCTTATCCTGTTCCTTTATTCATCAGTATAGAATCAATAAAACATTCTTTTAAAAAGAAGGATAAGGTCTTGTATGTTGCTGCTCTCTTGGCCGGATTTCAAAGCAGCTAATTAAATTCTGTCAGCCTTAACTCCTCCTGTAGTTTCCATTTAGTGAGTTGTGCATTGCCCCATATTATCAGCACCGACTTGGCAAAATGATACGGAGGGGCATCCCCCAGAGGAGACTGTTTTCTGTGGTAGGAACAGTGCTCCACAGAGAGCCCCACTGAAATGAGTGGGTGAGCATGAACTTCTCCCAGCTACTGATGCCAGGCACACCACTCCTTCCCACTGGACTTCTTCCCACCGGGTCCTTGCTCTGCTTGTTCTAGCTGCTGACCATGCACAGGCTTGCCATACCACAGCACGTGCTGTCTGGCGTAGCTTGAGCCTGATGGGCACTATTTTTTAGGATGGATCCCTGGGCAGTCCAACACCAGTAACTCCCAGCTCTCTAGCCAACTGGCCAGCGTGCCACTGAGTGCTGGGAGCTAGCAGTCTTTTGCCTCGCTGGCCACCTAGTTAGGAGTTAGAGTTTCTCTGCTTCAGAGTCTGCCCACCTTGCTGTGAAGCGATGATACCCTGTGTCCTCAAGGGTCCAAGTGTCACAGGCATCTTGCATGCACTGGTGTGCCAGCACAGTTTGCTGGTAAGCTGTGTTCTGCTTTGGGCTGGTTGGCCTCTTGTATGCACTTTCATTTCAGAAAGCTTTTAGAGGCTTCAGAAAATGAAAGCAATGTGAAAATGCATAATCTCAATATTATTTTATTTAGTATACAATTATACTTTCATTAGTGTAGAAAATGTATATACAGAGCATAGAGTGCCAAGAGAGGCTAGATTTAAATGCATAGGCTTTAAAGCCAGATAATTCCATGTGTAAGAGCAATACATTTTATGTTTTTAAACTGAAAGAGGGTAGACTTAGATTGGACATAAGGAAAAAAATTTTTAACGATGGGGGTGGGGAGACACTAGAACAGGTTGCCCAAAGAAGTTGTGGATGCCCCATCCCTGGAGGTGTTCAAGGCCGGGTCGGATGGGGCTTTGAGCAACCTGGTCTGGTGGAAGACGTCTTTGCCCATGGCAGGGGGGTTGGACTAGATGATCTTTAAAGGTCCCTTCTAACCCAAACCATCCTGTGATTCTACATGTATGTGCATAGGAGATGCAGTCATGGTATAGGTATAAGAGCCTATGTGCTCCTATTTTTCTAATGCAAAAAGTCAAGACTGGATGTAATGAAATCAAGTAAACAGTGTTGATTTTTTTTCCAACATGGCATTTAAACAACATGATTCTAATAAGTTGGGGTCTCACAAACAAAACCGTTGTTCAATGAAAATCCTTGTCAGTTTTGTGTCACAGGTTATTCCTCTGTTTTACGTAGTCCATTGTTGTCAAATTCCTGGAAAGCAAAAAGTACACAAAGACAAAATGGGAAGAGGGCAGGTAATCATTGCAGGGGTTCTGCCAAAAGTGACTGCTCTGTGTATCCAATTTTATATCCTTCATATCTATAGTATGTTATTGAAGTCTGATGCCCCGCTGCCTTGCAAATCATTTGCATCTCTGCACTGTGATATAAAAGGCTTCCCCGCTGATTGGATAGCTTTTTATATCTTCTCAGCACTCGTGTTTCTCTGACATAGATATCTATGCAAAGTACAAGGCTTTTGAGGATCCGGCCCTTGTAGTTCATGCTTCATTGCCACAAGGTGAGTCAAAACAGCACTCGCACAAAATGTGGGAATGGGAAGTCATGGGGAGCGTTCACCGTCCTCCTGCCTGGCATCTGGAGGTTACTGAAGGCCAGACTAGACCCAGGCAGAACAAGTCAGAGTAGTCCCTGCTTCCCTGCCAGCTGCTTGCCAGACAAGATCAATCTAATTCAACTCGGGAAGCTTGTCCCGTGCCCCAGCTTGCGTTCTCCACCAGTGGGGGAATGGTGGCACTGATGGAGAAGTGCCAGGGTTGGCTGCCAGCTGGCTGCCAGAGGCGGCTTCGGATGAGTGCCTCTTCCCATGGGTGGTGTGAGCTCTGCCCCACACGGCTGCGCAAGGGAAGCTTGTAGCAGCTGAGGATCCGGTCCTTCAAGTTAAAAGGATTGAAATATGCATGAAGCATAAGGTGACATTTTGAGTGTCTCAGATCAGAGCACGGACGTTACTGAATTTAAAATGTAACTGCAATTTCCTGACTAATGCCAAGTCACTTTTATATTCATGCAGTGATTGTTCTTTATTCTTAAAATAGCCCATTTTACCCTGAGGCGCAGGTGATATCTTTATGATGATGGAGCTACGTTATCCAACGTTACAGCTTGGGCCGCTGGTTGGTGCAAGGGCTGTTTATGATCAGCTGTCCTTTTTTATTCTTTCTCAATTTATATAATGCTTTTGTAGCCTGTTTGTTTGTGATTTGCTTCAACGAGAATAGAGCAGGGAAAAATAAGAAGGAAAAAAAAAAAAGAGATGCACTGGAGATTCAGTGTTGTTGTCTTTTACTTCCTGTAGCTGAGCTGTAGGATTTACCATTGTGTCTCCAACTTTCTGAGTCCATTCAGATAACATGAACAGCTAAATTGCCTCAATAGCCTTATACCTCTGCAGAGAGTCTGTTTGCTGGCATCCAGGGCTTTCTGTGGTGAAGTGTACAGGATATTATAAATAAAGTATTCAACAAGCATGAGATAGCAAAAAGAACTCTGAGACATATTTGCTATTCATTCAAAATAAAGACCTTGCACATAGTAGCAGCTACAGAAAACCGAAGGCAGGCTTTTCAGCAGAGCAGGAACATCCCCAGCCTGGGTGAAGGTGTAGAGGATGGAGCTGTAGGTGCAGCTGTCAGAGAGGCAGGACAACAACTAGAGGGAAGGAGAGAGCTGGGAAAGAGAGATCTGCTCCTGGGTGGGTGCCCCTCTACCTCCCACCACCAGCAGCAGCTGCTGCCCCACTAACCCCTGGCTCCACATTGGCAGCTGCAGCAGCGAGCAGCGCCGCTTCCCCTTGCTCTGGCAGAGGCACAGGGGATGGGGACCAAAGCTGTTTTGCTGCACCCAGGAGCCCGTTGCTTTAAGCTCCTGCCTGCTTTGCCGATGAGCTGTCTGTAATGGCAGGAATTACCTTTGGTGCTGCTAAGCACAAAAAAAGGTTAGATGAGAGACTGTAGTAATTACAAGAGTGAATTGTCATGGCATAGGAATTTGTGGAAGTGATGCTGAGGCCCAGTCAGGAGGAGTGTTCTAAGTGACATACCTGCTAATTTGCCTGGAACTAGCCTACTTATTTAAAAAAAATACTGTTGCCTACATGCAGTGAAACCAACTAATCAGCAGTTTCTAGAAAGTTTGACCTGAAAGAAAGGCAGATTCAGCATCCAGATGAGAGAGGTGCACAGGAGTCTCAACAGGTAGTGTTTTGCCATAACTCCCAGTACTTGTGTGCCTTTGTCGCACCTCCTGTTTGTCACAAACCCAGCCAGCCATCTTTGCTCTAAAGGCGGTATATGACATAACTGTGGTTACACTTGCAGCTGCTCTCCTTGCCCCATCTTTTTATCCATCTCTTTAGCTGTGCGTAATCTGGTGTGTCACTGGGCCAGCTGCAATGATTGCCTTACTCATCTGTACTGTGCCCAACACAGGAGCCTTCATCAGAAATTAGTAGGTCCTGATGCAATACAAATACTAATAACCAGGAGTAGTATGATCAGGCATGGATTTACTGGGTGGGGACAGGGTATGTATGTGTGGGAAGAGGGCAGTGAGGAAGGGGAGAGTAGTTTGAGGGCCTCTAGGTGATGATATCCTGGAGATTGGTGCCTCAGCATTTCTAGTTCAAATAGTTTAACAGAGACATTCTGGCAGGTACCATGTAATTTAATTTTGAATTTTTTTCCTGCCATAAACCAGACTTGGTGTCTGACGGAATAATCACCAGAACTTCAGGAAACAACACGCCTACCAGTGATAAGCTATTTCTTGTGCCGACTCAATGTATAGCTGTTTGTTTGCTGGATATTGCAAAATGTAGTACGTTTGATGTTTGTGCAATTCTGTTTTCCTTCTGATTATTTTTATGTGCATCTCCCTCTCTCTTTCTCTCCTGTATACAGATGTTCGTATTCACCCCATGGAGCCTATGCCCAAAGCAAACTTGCCCTTGTGTTATTTACCTATCGACTACAGCATCTTCTGACTGCAAATGGAAGCCATGTGACTGCTAATGTAGTAGACCCGGGAGTAGTGAATACTGAGCTCTACAAACATGTCTTTTGGGTTATAAAAGTGGCCAAATGGATGACAGCCTGGCTATTTTTCAAGGTATGCAGTTTTTTTAATCATTTTGTTGCCATGCCCCTGCATTTTGAGAGCTGTAGTCAGCACAGAGCTGAAGGTGTTTGGGAGTTTATCATAATGTATGGTATTTATTGCATTTCTCTGTGCTGATGAGATGTACAAAATTGATAAAGATAGGCCTTCTCCAGAACAAACACTTATTTTAAATGGAGGGAGTGAGCTCTCACAGTAAGGGAAGGGAATGCCTTTCACTGTCTGTGCCCATGCACTGATTATCTCTGCCCTGATCTATCCTTGTGCCTTTGTGCGTGCATGGGAGCAGAACATCATCCTAACATGAAGCCAGAATATGCAAAGTGTTCCTCAGAAATGTCTTGTGTGTCCTCTTAATGAGAAGCAGACATGATCTGGCACGGTCTACACATATGCAACACATTATAGAGAAGAGGGCAAAGGGAAGAAGGAGGCTGTACAAAAATGGTGGTGGGAAGTCACCATACTCCAGGCTGGGCAGGCCCAAGCACTTGTGCTCTGAGAGGAGGGACAATTTTCATTTAGCTTTTTCATCCTAACACATAATTGTAATGGTACCAGATTTTCTATTATCTGTTCCTGGTCTGCATTAGGAAACTTAAGGCTGTTTGATAAAACCAATCCAGAAGTGGGGCAGACCCAGTTAGGGTTAACTTTAGTAATGTTTTGTAGTGGTGTAACTAGATCAATCTGAAATCAGTTTAGCTGCGTAGGTGCAATCTCCTCATGCAGACCAGCCTTAGGAGGACTTGTGCTGAGAAAATGTACTGCTTTTTCAGAAAGTAGTTTTGGATTAAGTGAATGGAACCTGATTCCATTAGAGAAAATTAAATGTCCTAATTAAAATGAAGTATTTTAGATCAAGGGGCATGTCCCACAAAGCAAATTAATTTTAAACTTTGATATGGAAATATCACTAGCTTTAATTTTAGAAACGAAACTGGAGGCTGGAAGAGTGGCTGTAAAATAAGATGCAAACAAATAAACCCATATTTAAAAAAAATAATAGTATCTTCTGAGTACACCTTGAATATTGCAATAAAATTGTAATAGGAATGCTCATAATATGTAATGCATTCTTAAAGAAGTAGAATGCAGCTTTGCCAGTGTATGTTAAACTTGTTTTGCCTTTTGTGATTGCCATTTTAAGTATCAGTCTTGGGCCGTCGTGTTTTTTCATTGGACTTACTTCACCTTGCTAACATAACAGTTTCGTGTAGGTGTTTAGGTTGTGCTCAGTGTTTCCTCTACAGCCACAAAATTCTGACAAAATTTCTGTGTCTGAGGGTGAGAATTCAGTGTTATTGCTGTGCCCAGGGAGACGTTTTTGTATTATACTGGCCACGTTTAGACACTGAATGGGATGTCACTGAACGCACATAAAAGAAGTTTGGATTTATCACAGGAGGGAGTCTCATACTTACAGCTCAGTAATGTCGCCGATAGTTCCTGGTAAGTTCCTATTCTTTAGATGAGATACCGCTCTAAAGGGATTCTGCCTTACAACGGGTGATGGACAGATATACTGACTTGCATGGAAGCGCAATGTGTGTTCTGCCTGAAAAGCAAATGCATCAGTGGTTTATTGAATCAGAGTTACTTCAGGTTTGGATAACTGAATGCTTCAGTTGTCAAGGTTGAGATTTACACGTTTTTATATAACAGTCAATGTGTTTTTCCTACAAACCAAAGGAGAGGGGAACTCTTACTATCACTCTTCCCATCTTGCCTGAGACTTCTGAGCTTTGCTTATTGCTTAAGATATGTTTATGTGTTCAGGATTGACTTTGCCTTCCTTTCTCACATTCAGGAGCACTTCATCACATAGGTGCGCCCCGTTCAGCTCTGGCAGAACTGCATCACAAGGCAACGTTTAGCTCCACGGCAAGGTCACGTTGAAAGCCTGCTTGGCGATTTCAGTAGCACTGCACCGAGTGCTGCAGTATCCGGCATTCAGGCCTGGCTGGGTCTTGTGTTGGTCTCGTGCACTTGGGTAAATTTCCCCAGAGAAAAATAGGAAAGCAAGCGCAAGAAAATTCAGTTGTCTGATAATAATAGCTGATAGCTGGTATTATGGATTTCTCCTCCCCTGGAATTTCATTCCTGAGCACATGTATATGAATCTTCTTTCTAGGATTATGGCAGTAATGCAGTGAAAATGAGGTGATAGCTCCCTAATCATATTGGCTCAACTAACTTTTATCACCCTGAAGTATTCCAAAGGGGTTTCTAAATGCGTGCAGGAAATTGCTTCACCCACTGCAACCTGGCACTCATGAGAGCCAACACAGCCCAGATAGCTCTGGTGGGGAAATGCATCACGGATTTATCACATCACATTCCCTCAGGAGAAAGTCAACATCTTGTTTGATTTAATTCCAAAATATTGTGGCAGAGCCTCCACTACCTTTAAATGCATTTCCACCGACACTGCTCCCTGTTGCATTCAAGTCAAATACGTCCTAGGAATTGCAGCTTGGCCCCCACTCTCGCTGGGCTGTTCAAATTTGAGGCGTCTCAGTGTGGCAGACAAGGCTGTCGGCTCAACATCCGCCTCAGAGCTGCCTCGAGATATTTAGGTACTTAAGCAAATAAACCTACAGTCTCGCAAATAGGCCATGGTACGTACCTATAATTTACTCAAAGTATTAACAGCTTGAGTTTCTCAGTGCTGTGAAACATTGTCTTCTGGTCTTCATACGTAGCTCAGAAAAATCTCTGCCAAATCAGTTTAGGGTTGTTTTTTTTTCCCAACAAGCCGCAGTGAGAGGCACCCATATAGAAATAAGATAGGCCAAGCTAAAGGATCCGGTCACAGTCATAAAAATTGTGAAACAAATGCCTGCCCTTTAGAAGTGATGGTTTCACTCTTTCTCAGCTCGATTCTTTCTCAGGAACGTTATTGTCTGCTGCAATAGTTGTTCTTTAAATTTTGGTTTTGCAAATGTTTTCTCTACATTTTTAATAAACAGGGTTGCACCTGTCACACACAAGAGAGAAATTATGTTTGTTCCTCAAAAAATAAATTGATTTCTATCCCTATGACTTCTCAGTAAATAAAAGCTGACGAACTGTCATAGTCCTTTGCAGAGTGCGGTGAAATATGTTATCCCTCAGGAATTTTTAACATAAAGTGATCTTCTTTTTGAAGAGAAAGTCCAAACCAGTAAACAATAACTAATTAATAAGATAATAATAGCCTAAAAAGACGTTCATCGGGCATTGAATTGCAATTCAGCCAACTGTGCAATACACCAGTTTTAGTGATGGGTACTGTCCAAGCTGGAAGACGGGAAGGTACCATTTCCCTCTGAAGTATTTCTGCTTCAGCTACAGATACTGAATATTCATTCTTAAGCCAGATGGCCTCTGCTCGTGATACAATTAAAATGCCTTGAAGCAAAAAAGAAATGCTGACTTTCGTTAATGTGCAATGGCAGGGGCTGTCCTGCTTCGTACGACTTCATTGTGCCATTGAAGTAGAGACATTTCCCACACAGCAATGTTGTAAATTTCCCCCAAACCTTCTTTATGACAAGCTTGGCGAACATGTCATTATCAGATATAGAATTGTTGGTCCTTTCAGCCACCTCAGATTGGTAGTTAGGAAGCCATCATGAAAAAAATACTGTGCATCAGATCTTGTCTCAGCTGTCATTTCCAAAGACATAGTGCTATGTAAGTGATTATTGACTGACAAACTGAAAATGAGTAGGATTAGTGACCCCAGCGGCCTGTAAAAGTGAAGGAAAAGGCTTCAGCAACACAGGCTAGAAATCAGCTGATATAAACTAGTTCATTTCTTTCATCTGTCAAAATAGGCTTAACTTCAGTGTAATTTTCCTATAATATTTTTAAAGAAATGCTTCCCATCTGTAAGTACAGCTAGAAAACAAGATCTAAAGAACCTGGATTCATCATTCATGCCAGAGGACATAGTCATGCAGGTCTTATTGCAGCATTTCTTATTCAAACTGTCCCTTTGGCACTGTGAATGTAGAAAATTCATTTAATCCTCCCCCCCAAGGTGTCAGAAGACAAACACATCACCATACAATAACGCCAGCTGTACAGAACGAGAATAATTAAATTCTACAGCTGAAAGCAACAATTCATCAGCATCACCATCTCTGGCCCATGTGAGTGTGTGGTCCTCACTTAAAGCTAGTCTGGAATTTTCTCACAAAATGAAAACTCCTTACAGAAACATGTCATTTGTGGTTAATTTTTACAAAAGGCTTTTCAGATCAAAATTAGGATTCTGGTCAAAATCAGAGAGAAGGAAACGATCCACGTTACTCCAGTAACAGGTCCCATTTTTGTACAGGATTTAAGCTTCAGAGCCATAGGGCTTCTTTTCTCCCATCTGATAAATATTTGGTTATTCGTGCAGCCATAGAACAATTCTAGGGGGAAAGATGGAGGGACCCACCTGTGAAAAGTAATGAGCAATCCACCTTTGAGCCATCACATCCCCGTGATCTGGGTATTTCTCTTCGATGTCAGTCCCTGGACTTGGGTAGGCACCCAGGTCCTGCCTGTTATGGGGTATGCAGATGCAGCTTGGCTGCTTTATCTATTCTAATTGCTAAATAAGAAGGCTTAGGACTGTGGAGTGTTTTGTATCTGTCCTAATTAGGATCAGGTCCTGAGGGACCTGGCAGATGAAGTCTCTAAGCCACTAGCCATCATATTTGAGAAGTCGTGGCGGTCTGGCAAGGTTCCTGCCGACTGGAAAAGGGGAAACATAACCCCTATTTTCAAAAAGGGAAAGAAGGAAGACCCAGGGAACTACAGGCCAGTCAGTCTCACCTCTGTGCCTGGCAAGATCATGGAGCAGATCCTCCTGGAAACTCTTCTGAGGCACATAGAAATCAAGGAGGTGATTGGTGATAGCCAGCATGGCTTCACCAAGGGCAAGTCATGCCTGACAAATTTGGTGGCCTTCTATGAAGGGCTTACAGTGGCCGTGGACAAGGGAAGATCAACTG